TTTTTTTTTTTTTTTTTTTTTTTTTTTTCTTAGCAATGCTGGGAACCGAATGCATGACCTTGTATATGCTAGGCAAGTACTCCCACCGACACCCCGTAAGCCCCAAGCCCTTTTAACTCTTCCATCAACCTGACTCTGGTATTGCTCCCATCGAGCCAGCACCTCAGAAGGAGCTCCTTCAGGAGGCCTCTGAGCTACTTTGCATGTGGGGGGGGCACTGTGTAGTGAGCAGCTGAGCCCTAAGGAAGGAATAGTGGCTTGGTAGCTCTTAGTGCTTTCCTCTCTCGGGGCTTTCCCATGGGGCTGCCAGTGTATTTAGGATCCTCGTGTTTTGTACTAAATCGGGGCTAAATACATCAGTGTCCTGGGGGCCCAGTAAGAGGCCAGCCCACCTGGGGAAGACAGACACATCTCCTTGCCAGCAGCAGGGAGTTTGACGTCTCATCTAAACTTCCACACTGCCCTTCCTCATCTGCCCACTTGAATGTGTACATCTCAATGCAAGAAGAGTTTTGCTCATTTTCCCTTTTGGTAGAACTCCACGTAGAACTTTGTAGAATAATTAAAAAGCTAAGTGCTGCAAGCTGATTCCAAATTGCCTGCATTGAAGGAGGCCCATTTCTCTTTTCTTTTTTCGAAATGTGGATGTGTATTTCCAAAGAACCATGAACCCGAGGACTTTCTAGCCCACAGAGGGCAGAAGCTTGTGAGTCAGAAGTTCTGGTTCATTTTTTAAAAAAGCAGTTTAATTAATTAATTTTTTACACATAACTGAAAGTGATGTTACAGTACATAAGTTATTTACAACTGTGCAGTAATGTGTTGTAAAATAAATTATCTAGAAGGTAGCAAAGTACATTGTGAAGGTATATAAAATTGTACAGCATCCTTGGATACACTTTATATAGGATTATTGGCTCTGTAGTGTTTCAAGTTATGCTCTCAGAAAGAGAAACAAAATGTCCAAGATTAAAGGAAAAAAATACACAAACCATGTGGATTTGACTCCATTCAAAACACTGCTGGAGAGTCCTGGCTGCATATCTCGAGCCAGATAGGTGGGAGCTGGGCCCTCACCACACGGGGCTCCCCAGCGTCTCAATCTGCACCGAAGACAGGGCCAAGATGGCGCTGTCCTGCCTCTGACCTGGAATTCACTCCAGGGGGGACCTAGAGAGGATTATGCCTTGGTTCACGTCCTACAGATGATCAGAATGAGCAAGGAACTGAAGTGCTCTGTCCTGTGGCTGCTCCTGGGCACTGTCCTTCAAGAGGGAGCTGTCATCCTCTCACACCTTGGTGTATTCCTCCCGGGCCGCAGGCTGCAATGTTGGCCCAGTGTTTCTGCGGCATCTGGTAAAGGGAAGCGCTCCATCTCCCTAGCCTCCAGCCAGTCTGGAAGGGTAGGCACGGGCCAGGTGCAGTCTCACTCCTCTCCTCCTCCACCGCTGGGACTCACTGGCAGCACTGGAGACTGAGTGGCCCTCCGTGGGTGTCACACTGGCAGCAGCACAAAATCGTCGTTGACTTCAGCCATGGGCAAATAGAAGGAGGGCACCTCATTCGCACACAGGGACTTGTGCCCGGCAGGGACCGGCTCCTGCGCCTTCAGCTGCCACTCCATCCTCTGCATGGCATTGAGAGCCACAGCCTCGTGCTGTTGCTACATCAGGAGACATGTTTCCATGCAGCCCTATTTGTCATCCACATCCTGTAGCCAGGAGATGAGTTGGCGGGCATTGAAGCGATCTTGCACAAACTTGTTCTCGTGCCCCTGGCTTTCCAGAGGCATGTTGTAGACCTCGGAGTCCAACAGCATTGTGCAGGTGCTGAAGGGTGTCACCTGGTTGGCAGTGGTGCGGGCTGCCTGGCAGTGTATCCGTATGATCTCCTGTTCACGGGTCACAATAAGCTTCTCCCGCTCCATGCTGTGCTGCAGACACAGCTTCCTGCTGCTTGAAGAGCTCCTTCAGGGGCTCTGCCCGGCAGGGTGGGGGTGTGATCACAGAAGTGTGGAGCTTTTGAATGGCCAAAAGTTCTAATCCTGGCTTTTCCATTGGCTCACTGGGTATCTTTGAACAAGTGGCTTAGCCTCTCTGACCCTCAATCTCTTCCTGTGGAGGTTTTCCGTCTTTATCTCATGCGGCACTTAGCAGGTTTACAGGAAATGCAGTGGTACGTGGTTGATGGTACGCGTGTTTATGGTGTGCAGCTCAGCAAATGACTATTAGTACTGTGTTAAGGTAAGTACGAGCCTAGCAAATCCACTAAATATTTGGCTGTTTAAGCATATTTTAACTCACAGCTCCTCCACTTCAGTTAATGAACTTTTCCTGGGGTAGGAAATCTCTGGGCTTCCAGAGAAGGCTTCATCTGCCAATGCATTTAATCTCAGAATCTTGTTCTTTCCGAAAATGCCAGCTATGGTAAATTCATTTACAGAAAACACCAACATATTTTGCAGAGGATGATTAATATTGCTCTTAAATATACCGAGGATGGTTATCTCTACCCTTGTTTTTGCTCCCTCCCTTTAGACGTTCACTTGAAAAGAAGGAAAAAGCAGATGAGAGTATTCAGTGGTTACAAATGCACAAAAAGAAGTGTCAAGCACTGTCTAAGTCTGTGACCCTGCGTGCGAAAGCCATGGATCCCCATAAAAGCCTGGAGGAGGTGTTCAAAGCAAAGCTGAAAGAGAACCGGTCAGTGTCTTCTGTGTGTCAGAGGGGTGTCTGTCTTGGGATCCAGCAAGATCAAAAAATGGCAAGACAGAGTTATTGGGGGTTAGGGTCTACAACTGCAGGGAGTCAGACTTTTCCAGGAAGTTAGGAATTTACAATGTACCTCAGAGTGCTTACCTGGAATGGATGGTGCTCTGGGTTGGAAAAGATGAAATTCTTTCTAAAAATCTTGTTAATTACAGAAACAATGACCGTAAAAGAGCAAAAGAATATAAGAAAGAACTGGAAGAAATGAAGAAGAGAATACAAACAAGGCCCTATCTCTTTGAACAAGTTAGCAAGGTAAAACTGTACTATCAGTCATTTTCTTTCTGCCTTGCATGAAAGGGCTCTTAGAGATTATTAAACTATTTCAGTATATGGGCATTAAACATTTCCTCAAGTCTCAGACATTCTCAGTTGGATCCGTTTTATTACTACCGTTTCCCCCCAAATATAGGTCTTCAAGTGCTAGGATGGTCATACGCACTTCACAAGGCTCTTTCTAGACTAAGTGGCTTTCAGGTAGAATCATTTGAAGATACTGTCTAAGGGAAGGCAGAGCCCTAGGAATTCTCTTGAAGGAAGCTCTAGAGCTGCTTGAATGGCCCAGAAAGGCCACGGTCCCAAACATTTTGGGAAAGGCTCTGTGGATCTCTTTCCTCTTTAGTTTCAGACAAAACTAGGGGTTCCATAGGGACTGGTTCTAATTGCTGAGTGTTAGCCCTGTCCACCAGCTAGTGCTTAATCTAGGTATCTGTTGGTCTGCTGCAGCCCCACTCCCGTATCCACACCCCACACACGGGCTGGGCTGTCTTTGATTTACTTAGCATCTCTTATGCTTCTCAGGTGTGGTATAAATGCTTGGAATACAAGCTACTTGGGAGGCTGAGATAGGAGGATGGCAAGTTTGAGGCCAGCCTGGGAAACTCAGAAAGACCCTATCTCAAAATAAAAATAAAAAAGGCTGGGTAGTAGCTCAGAACTACCTGGGTTCAACTCACAGTACCAAAACAAACAAAAAAACCTCCCACCCTGACCTTTTCCTTTTAGATATTAACTTGAAAGAAGCAAGCATAGGCTGGGTGTGGTGACACGTGCCTGTAATCCCAGCACTTGGGAGGCTGCGGGAAGGAGGATCCCCTCAAGTTCGAGGCCAGCCTAGGCTGCATAGTGACTTCAGTTCCAGTCTGAACTACACAGAGAGACCCTGTCTCAAAAAAAGTAATAGATATCAATAGGTTGGGCCAGGGATTTAGCTCAGTGGTTCAGGTGCCTACCTCACAATTACAAGGACCTGAGCTCGATCCCCATTACTGGGGGGGGAAATAGATAGATAGATAGATAAATAGATAGATATCAATAGATCTTTCAACAAGTAGGAAAAATACAAAGTATTCTAATTTTTGCTCTTTAATATTTAAATAAAAAACCTTTTCTTGTCCATAGGTAGGTAGGTAGATCATCTTCCTTTTGTTAAGGGTGTTTTGAATGTAGCTTACTTTGTATTTGTTAATTTTTAGTCTTCTTATTTTTTTATATTTTGGTTTTTTGAGACAAGGTCTCAGCTGGCCTTGAACTTGCAGCCATCCTTCTGCCTCAGCTCCTGAGTGCTGCTGTGATTGTGGACATGCACCACCACACCTGGCTACTTTTAAGTTTTAAAATGTGGTTCTGGAGATTGAATCTAGGGCCTTGTGCATGTGCTGTACCATCGACCCACCTCTGCAGTCTCCCCCTTTTTAAATAGGGTCTCACTAAGTTACCCAGGTTGGCCTCCATTTTGCCATCCTCCTGCCTCCATCCGCTCAGTAGGTTCAGCTGAGTGTGCCACTGTGTTTTGCTGAATTTGGGGGAAGGTTTTTTTTAAAATCATGTTTGTTGATGCTGCTGTTTGAGTTGGGGTCTCCCTCTGTTGTACCGCTTGTCTCAAACACATGAGTTCCTGAAATCCTCCTTCCTCAGCCTCCTGAGTAGCTGAGATTACAGGCATGAGCCACTATGCCAGCCCTTGAACTACTTTTTCTTTTTTCATCTGAGTCTCACTTGGTCTCCTACAAATTGAAGTCCTTGTTTTTCAAAGGTGTGGCTCCCAAATTCACACTCGGCATCTCCTGGGAGTATTGTAAGTACAGAATTGCAAGCCACATCTGAGCCCTGCCTATTTTTTAAAAGGTAGCAAGGTTTTACATTGAGTAATGGTAGGAAAAGAAATGTGCTCTGCAGAATGAGCTTGGGCCAAGTAAAAGTAGGAAAAAAGTATACTCTACAGTGTGAGTAGAGAACAGTGCAAGGACAAATAGCCAGACTGCAATTTTTTTTTTGTACCGGGGATTGAACTCAGGACCTTATGCTTGTGAGGCAGGCAGTGGAACCACTGAGCTAAATCCGGAGCCCTAGACCATGCATTTTAACAGGATCCTTAGGGAGCTCACTTGAAAGCTAAGACTTGAGAACAAAAGTTCTAAGAAATTTTTACATAAACTTGGACCCAGCACTAAGGGTGGAGATGGTGGTTGGGGCAGTATTATAAGGAAACTAAGTAATTTAGAATCATCTGGTAATTCAGGAGACAGCCACAGCAAATTCAGTTCCATTTCGCAGGACCTTGCCCGGAAAGAAGCAGAGCAACGCTATCGAGACACACTGAAGCAGGCTGGGCTGGAGGAGGACTTCGTGAGGAACAAGAGTCGGGGCCGGGCTGTGAGATGGAAGGGCGAGGCCCCAGCCAAGGATCCGCCCAGGTATTTGAGATGCTCCGCCATCCCACAGCTGCAGGCTGTCATCCCAGACACTGCCACTGGGAGAGAACTGAAATGCTGCTCCCACTTTATGATCACAATCCCATCCTTATGGGCAGGGCCAAGCCAAAGGTCTCCCACACATTTGGATTTAGAACAGTACAGCTGGGAGCAAAATCAAACAGTTGTATTACATTTAGACTCTTTTCAACTTGAAACATTATTTTCTCATTCCAGTTCTAATGCCATGAGTAAAAGCATTTCTACTTTATTTCTAAAGAAAAATCACGTATAATATAATTTGACTCCTTGTATAATGATGAAACTTTTTCTAGCACTCCTTAAAGGTAACTCATGAGCTCCACCTCCTCGAGCCAGTTGACATTGTCTAAATCAAAGGGTGAGAAGCACAGGATCTCCACTGTTCTGTTTTCCTTTGTTTCTTATGTCCTAGTAGTCCCTCCAAGAATTCCTGTCTGTTTTCCCCTTAGAAATGTCCCTTTGTACCCACATAAAAGAATGGAAACATTTAAACCATTCTTCAACCATACATAATGCTTTCCTTATTTTAATATGTTCTATTTCATTATTCCTTATTTTGCAGTATCAGTGAAAGTACAAAACTCAACATCAGGGATCCACAGCAAGATTTAGAAGAATTCCTAGAACAGCTGACAAGCCCTAAGGAAGACTTGGAGATACTGTCTTACGAATCACCAGATAACCTCAAAGCAAGTGTTTAACCAGTACACTTAATGTTACTGCTTCTGAACATCATGCAGCTAACTAGGAGTTGAGTCAAAGCAAACAAAACCTGGATTTTGTGTCATGGCTACAGTTAGAGAACGGGAAAGAGTAACAGAAAGGCAATTTGAGGAAATCAAAGTGGACAAGCGCAGGGAAGGGGTGGTCATAGTTCACAGGTAAAGTTCTAGCTTTTCCCCTGACACTTTAAATATAGGGGAATATTTCCCTTTTGAATACTCCCTATTCATCCAGAGTAGTGCTCTTTCACTCTTTCTCCCCCCACCTTCAAATAAAGTTTTATTTAAAAAAAAAAAAGTAGACATAGGAAAACGGGGTACAAATTGGGTGGGGGGAGAGTGGCTTCTGCTGAAGGGAGTAATTTAAGGTGCTCCACTTCCAGAAGAAAGAGAAAAACAAGGTTTTTTGTTGTCTTCCTTTTTTTTTTGTACCGGGGATCAAACTCAGGACCTTGTGCTTGCCAGGCAAGCGCGACACCACTGAGTTATATCCCCAGCCCTGAGAAAAGCAGGTTTTTATTGACTTACTGGAATGGGCTAAAGTTGGTGATTTCCCTCCCACCCCAGGCTTATTTATTTAGGTTTATATTCTAGAGATTGAACCCAAGGCCTTCCTTCTCACTGAGCTATACATCCCCAGCCCTTTTTTATTTTTGAGGGTTCCCTTTGATTGCTAAGATGACCTGTCCAGGTAGGAACTTGTGATTCCCATGTCTCAGACTCCCAGAGTGCTGAGATTACAAGCGTGGACCACCAAGTCCATCTTTTGTTTTGTTTTTGACACAGGGTCTTGATATGCAGCCCAGGCTAGGCACAAATTCAGATCCTCTGGCCTCAGCCTCCCAAGTACTGAGATTACAAGGTGTGATCAAAAAATATAGTGAACATTTAATATTTTAAATTCATTATAAAAAGACACATTGCCATTAATCACCCTCAGAAAACTCCATTTCAAACACACTTTCTTACATCTTTCTTACAACTTTCCGAAGTAGTTCTGGGTGTCCTTTTCCATATCTTTAGTTGCGCTGTTGTGGCTGCATGGATATCCTGAAATCAATTCAAAATGTTTACTGTATCTGGGGATTTAGCTCAGTGGTTCCTCCGCCTGCCTCGCCAGCACAAGGACCCAAGTTTGATCCCCGGTACCAAAAACAAAAAAACAACAAAATGTTTACCATTCATGGTCATTCGGGCTTGGGTAAAGAACGAAAAGGTGGCAATGGCAGATCTGGTGAATAAGGGAGACGAGGATATACTAATTTTTTATTGTTTGAGACAGAGTCTCACTAGGTAGTTCAGGCTGGTCTTGAACTCATTATAGAGCCCAGGCTGCCTTGAACTCAGCAATCTTCGTGCCTCAGCCTCCTGAGTACTGCGATTACAGGCATACACCACCAAGCCAGGCCACACTAGTTTTTATGAACCTGCCTTTCCAGTGGATGCAATCGACAGCTGCATTCACTGCATTTTTTATCCCATGTCTAAACAACCATCATGGAGTCTTATACTTCTTCAGAAAGTGGAAAGGAGGGGCTGGGGATTTAGCTCAGTGGTTCGGTGGCCTGCCTTACAAGCGCAAGGACCCCGAGTTCAATCCCTGGTACCAAAA